GAGTCCTTACTGGAACAGGGGGAACAGGAACTACTGGGATGCCAAGGAGAATGAAAAGCATGTCTGTTAGCAGGAGACTGAAGAAGAGAGATCTGTTTAGCCTGGCAAAAAAAGGGGCTGAAAGGGGTGAACGGCTCTCTGCTAAGACATTAGGAAAATCAACACCACAGAGAAAAAATAGACAACCATGGAAGATACAGATTGATGTTAGCACAGAGCAACTGGCTACGGACCATTTATGAATGAATGAATTTAGACTTGAACTTAACAAGACAAAGAGCCTGAATACTTGAATAGTTTTAATACAGAGCATGTTCAGTTTACAAAATGAAATTTTACATGTGATTTCCTGAGATGCCGAGAGTCAGGAGTCAATTACCTAGGTTATACTTCTGAGATATCAAACAGTCAATTTTTTGAATGTGGGAACAGTCACATCATCAGCTATTTTAGACTGAGGGTAGCCCTACAGAAGAGCAGATAAGATTTCTTTGGCTTCTCAGTCCAGCAGAGTTGGAAGCTGAAACAGCCAGAGTGGATTTCAGAATATGTTATTTCTCAGCAGAGGCCACATTAGTGGTCTCTCTTTGATTTCTGGATTCAGAAAGTAAGATTTCCATGGTACAGGACAGTGCAAAGGGATTTCTCAAACATTTAAGCACTGCAAGACATAAGCTAAGTGACTCTAAGTGACTCTGGTTATTGCTTAGCAAATGCATCCCAAATATTTAACAAGCCTCTACAAAGGATTATCTGTACCATTCACTAAAAATAACTATTTAGTCTATTTTTTTTGAAAATATGAATACATTCTGGTAAAAGAGTGATCAATAGATAAATATTTTTAGAAGATAAGGAAAGGAAAGGAAAGGAAAGGAAAGGAAAGGAAAGGAAAGGAAAGGAAAGGAAAGGAAAGGAAAGGAAAGGAAAGGAAAGGAAAGGAAAGGAAAGGGAAAGGCTTTAAAAGCTTGTAGTCTCAGCAGCCGTAGGGCAGCGTTTCTTCCAGCATTTAACTGAGGAAGCAAGACGGACGCTGTCAGATGGAGTGCAGATACTACTTTGAACTAGACACGTGGTCCCAGCCTATTTGCTGTCTCATGGCATTAAAACCACCTGACTGTTCTGCACTGAAGGAACAGGAACTCACTCATGCAGGCAAAGCGTTCACCAGATTAGATCAGTCTCAATCAGATCCCCAAATTGTCACACTTTTAGACACTAACACTGTAAAATTTGGTAGAGAACATTATTCACAAGATGAGCAAAATCTGAAAAGGACCTAGCGAGGCTAAGGGCATGAAGTTTAGCTACCTCAGAATGGGATCCTGCTAATCAGATCAGTACCACAGTTTTGCTGTATCTTGAGCCCTGAGCTTTCAGGGTACTTGTATCTATCTGACAGACTTCTCATCAAAGTCAGGTAAGGAGTCATTGCAATGCAGGACTTTTATCTGTGCAGATCCTGTGTCATCTAAGACAAGGGAAACTCTAGACAAAACTCTTTCAGAGCTTTCCTTGTTTTAGATGACATGGGATTTGTGTTTCACACCAAAATTACAAGCAGCTGGCTAGCTGGTTAGTTTATGGCTGCCTTATTTTTAGTGTCCTGATCCTAGAGCGATCCATCCTCACGGTAACTTCATGAATGCCACAAGCCTGGGCCAGTTTCAGAAATGCTTACAATGGCATGCAGAAGGCTCAACAAATAACCTTTTTGGCATCCACAAAATACCAAGAATTAAATACAATTTCTGTATTTATTTTTTGGTAAAGGTACATATGAGCCTTTTCAGCATGTGTCATAAGAATATGAGACCAAGCACACAAAGGATGCAGAGACAGCAGGGCTGTGTACCTGAGCTGCACACAACTCAGACTTAAGGTCACCTCAGAAGCAAAAAGCACAAGGCTTTTGTTCTTGTTCCCTGGAGGATTAACGAAGCCACAGGGAATCTGATGGATTGCCACCCCAAATTAAAATTCCACCCTTGATCTGAGGTACTTTCCCCTTCTGATAGATTTTTTTTCCTCAAAGCCCTTTCTGCTTGGTCTTGATTAATGTGAAATCTTCAAGAAAATTGAAGATGTGCTTAGAGTTTTGAGCTGCACCGTTCAAGAACATTAAAAAATCCCTTTGCTCTTGTTTTCCATAGACCCCCACTGGGATAGGCAGCATTCCCCTTACCACTGCCCTGGCCTCATCAGAAGCAGAAAGCTGCAGCATCAGGAATTTACAAGGAGTATTCCTACAACTTTTAAAAAACAGCACAAAAAGGATGGAAAAAAGCAATAGTGTTCAGCCCTGGAAAAGTATCTTTGCAGCAGGGGAGAAAGCTGGAGAAGTGGAGGGTCTGGAACAGCGGGAGAGAAGCGTGGATAAGGAAGGCACATGGCAGAATGGGTGGCCTTTTGGAAAAGCAAGAGGAGATGAGGTCACAAATTCACTCCAGCAAAGGGGCAAGGGGGAAGGGCAGCTCTTTTTCAACATGGGTGATTTTTTAAATGGATATTTTGAGTTTTCCACATGCATCTTGGAGGTGTCAGCAATTCAAAAACCAGAAAGTGGCCCAAAACTTACGTTTTTTTAAAGAACTTTAATGTTCCTTTCAGAATTGTGATTTTTGCAGTCTTGAGATCAACTCTCTCTGTGACTCGCAGTCCGATTTTTAACTACAATATGCCCAAGCAAAGATGAGTTTTGAATATCAATGCCTTATTGCTACAGAAAGCAACACATTCTATTATTGAAACTGAAGTCAAGTATGGGACATGTTGCCTGTTTGTCAGTGCCAGGTTTTGCCTGGTGAGTGTCAAGTCTGCTAAGCATTTGCTGAAGAAAAGCACAAGATCCAATTCATTTTTGTCTTCTCAATCACCAGCAAAGGCCCGCAGACAAGGCCTGCAAAGGGCGTGTTTTTTATGACCAGAGATATTTTCTTTTTACAAAATGAATATATTCCACTATAAATTCTAGACAACTTATAAAATCTTCTTGTTAAAATACAAGCTTGAACCCAGCCTTTTTCTAAGTTTTTACATGTTAGCATCTTTCTCTTTTTTTTTTCTCTCCTTGCTGTCTGCATAAGCCTCTACAGCTGCTTCATGTTTATGCTGGGTGGTGATTGCCACAACTTCCAAAAAAGTCTGCTGCTGAACAGTTAATAAAACCTGCACACATTCTCACAAAAATAAATTTGACTCTGAAAAGTTATCACAGAATTTGTCTCCCACTCTTTCAGACTTCCCCCAAGACCAAATACTTCATGCAGAAACAAACAAACAAGTAAAAATAGCATCTTTCTGAAGAAGGTGTGGTTCAAATACAGAGTCCCTAATGGGCTCAGTTGTTTTCCAAAACATTGATGCTTTAGTAATGACATTTAAAAAAAAAAAAAACACACACATTACAGTCGAAAACTCTCTCTTCATACTAAGTGATAGTGATAACAAAACAAAGCAACCCAAACTTCTCTCTCTCTGGATGTATCTAGAGGACACACACACACTTCAGAAAAGTTCCACAATTTCACTAGCAACAGTCAAGAAATTTGCCATTCGTTCAAATAAAAAAAAAAAAAAAAAAAAAAAAAAAAAAGACAAACCTAGCCCAAGACAGCTAATGCAGTTTTAGTGGCCATTCATCAGCTTAGATCTGCACTTTGCTCTTGAAAAGCCCATGACATATATATACTTGCTCTAACAATAGTACATGGTTTCCAAATGCTGCTTTGTCCATTGCTCCTTGTGATTTTTCATATAACTCTAATTAGCATTGAGTGCCACAGTGTCTTCTGCACACACTGAAGCATGCATCTATACCAAGTATCCCTTCATCAGCTCTTTATAAAGAATTCCACAACTGTGGAATTCAACTTAATATTTCACTATTATAAAACCTCTTTTCCTACCTTTATTGATCTAAGGAGGACTCTAACAAGTCCATCACTTTAGGCTCTTGGCAAGTCGTTGCTTTCCATTGCTTCTTTCAATGGGTTCTGCAAGGTTTGACCGAATCTCCCACATTGCTCCTTCCCCTCCGCAACTTCTGCACGAAGTCACAGCGAGGGCCCCAGCTTCTATACCACCCCCCTCAACAGATTAAGTACGTTAATGCTGGTCATCCCCTCCTTTAGATTATTCCACCATTAGTGACCTCCTCTATCATAACAGCTCACAGCTCACTATTTTAACAGCCCTATGAGACAGTGCATCACCTACAGCATGCAAGAGGAGTGTTACATTCCAGTCAGGGAAGAAAGACATACATACATTTATACATATTTATTGTATCTTTTTAAAAGTAGCAGTTGCAGTTACTTTTAAGCATTCACCTCTTCTGCATCAAATGTGCACGTACTGAGAGAAACACATACTGGCTTCCAAGTCCAAGATGAACACCAATACATGCCAGAAGTTGCTCAGTGCTTGTTGGCAGTTGCTCAGTGCTTGCTGGCAGTTCCTGTCAAGATAATACAGTAACCATAGCGTAGAGAAGGACTGTTAATTCTTCACCTGTAGGCTGGGGTTGCACTAGCACGGCCACGCCATCTTCTCAGAGCTGAAGTGTGACAACACTTTCCAGAACCCTGAAGCACACGCAACTTCTTTTTTTCCTTTTGCATCCAGTAGGTGATGGGGCAGTAGATTTTTCTACAGTAGCTTCTTCAGTTGATAAAAAGTTTCCCACCATCTACAGGGAAATACTTGTTGTAGACCTTTATAATTAGAAATGTCTTCTCTTCATATAACAGCAAGAAAATGCTTGAAACCTGGCATGTATTTAAGAGAACTGGGAACAAACCAAATTTCACCCTCAGATAAACATACGTTAACTACTATAGAATTCAATCTAACCCACACACAAAATTTTTTTTACACATACTACAAATAGAAACAGAAGGTATCAGCAAAAGACTATTCTTACATTGTTTCAAATTAATTTGTAGCTATACAATTTTAACTGTAATAGAAAAAGGGAAAGGAATATAACAGAACAGTTATGAAGAGAAATATTTTCCAAACTTTTATTTGTGCACATTCATCAGGTGAAAAAGATAACTTTTACAGCTTCTTTGGTGCCCAATATTCAACATACAAAAATGTAAAAGACCATTCACAAATAAAACACAAGCTCAAACTAAAAAAAAAAAAAAAAGTTTTAAAGGTAGTGCACATCGTGACGGCTTTGCTTATGAATACACAGAAATTACTGCAAAAATAAATAGAATGTCTTTTTAAAAGCAGCAATTTCATATCCTGTAAACTTCTGTTTTTACAATACAGCACTGTTAAAAATAAAATCCAAAAGGACTGGAGTTTATACTGTGGCCATGAACAAGTAAAAGAGTCTGTATTCCTCTGCTATAGTTGGTCCAGTTTTCCTTTTTGCTTTTAGTCCAATGTGCAGCAGTCTTTAAAGGTGCTTGGTTAGGGAACCTAACCATTAAGTGGTGAATTATAAAATTTATTTCCTGCTTTCAAACACGAATGGGTAAATCTGTTCCACAGCACTGGCAACAGCCTTTACGTTTGGCCCTGAGATGTATTAAGAAAGAAAAAAAAAAACAAATAAAAAAGCAGTAGGAAGAGAAAAATCAGGGTATCAGTAAACAACAACAGCACACTTAAACTTATTATTTTGGGCTACCACAATTTTATACTATAGACAAAAAATAACTCCTCCCACGTTTCTCCCAATTCAGGAAAGTTTTCCTCAGATAACTTTTCTTATGTATAACAAAAACATCTGTAGAACCTGTAAAATGTTCTAAATGGTTCAATGGCTGAGCTACAAATAATACTGTCATTTCATAACAGCTTGCATTATTTCTGATTTACTGAATTAAACAGCCCAAACAAGAAAACAGAGGCCAATTAACAGAAGTATTTCTGCTGTTTCACTTCTGTTGTTCCTTTTGAAATTTGTATTTCTCAAATCTAGCCACCTCTACCTCTTCTTTTACACAGCTAACAAGGGAAAGTACTGTTAAATAATGATGGATTTAAGTATGGTTCAAGCAAAATAATATGTTTGCAGATCACAGCCTGTTGCTTCGTAGTCTGTGTTTTGGACATAACTCTGATACCAATCTTAGGGCAAAACCTGGAATCCAGGGAACAGTTATTCTCTTAGGTTGCAGCATCTGAAAGTTGTCTAACATGATCTATGAATCAGGTGGGCAGGGTGGGAAGGAAGAGGGAACCAGCAGTGCTTTCTTATGGTACTACATCATTTTCTGAAATGAACAATTAAGGTTGCAAATGACTGAGCAATAAAATACCCCAAAAAATCATCCTGCATAGAAGTTTAGTGATGAAGACAAATCAAAACAGCAATTACTCATGTGCTTTAGTACCTCTGAAGTTAGTTTCTTTTTACTTCACTTTAGACTTCAAAAGCTTCTTTCAGTTATAGAGATGTACTAAAAATGGCTTCCAAAGGCATAAATAACCTTATTGGGTATGTTTTATCTATGCATATAGTTTGGCAAGTGATGTTTTGGTCAGAAGGCTTAGTCAGATAAAAACAAATGAAATGGAAGAGGATCCTTCCCGCATTTTCAGACTCTGCAAGGATGTATTTATAACGGAGCTGTTGGTGCCTCAGGTAGTGTCATTTGCAGTATTACATAGATGAAAAACAGGTAGTAAATTCAAATGTTTACAATATTTAACTAAATTATATTTAACTAAATACCCTGCATTCTCAAATAATTTTTCACCACTATTTTTATTAAAAAATGACTATTATCATTCTTATTGAAATAATTATTTTTTTTGACTATCAGTAATAACATTTTCTACATGCCTGCCCTACAACTATTCAGGCACCTCCCCTCCAAAACAAATTAGATTCTAGCACTAGGAAACAAATTATCTCAAATATATCTTTTGACTGCTTTAAAGCATGCCCTTCCTAAGATAACTGGCCATAAAGTTAAATATTCCCAACAAGTTAAATATTTATTTTTGCCATCAAAATACCTGTAACTGTGATACTGCCTGTTGAAAAAATCTGTAAGGTAGCTCTGAGAGTTTTTATTCTGTAACAAACCGCAGGATGAAGTTCTGGTTCATAACTAGAAAACAAAATAAAAAAAATCAAAAGGTAAAACTAGGACAAAAAAAGAAAAGTTTAAGAAATATGCCAAGACAATAAACATTTAAAAATCCTACCGTACCTCGCATGAGGTCTGTTATTCTTTGTAAATTCGGGCAATCTGATCTCAAAGGGCATGTTGCACACTGCTAAAACATTCACAACTTTAAAATCTGTGAAAATCACCTTTTCAAAAGAGAGAAAAAGAGGCATTAAAAATTCAGCTTATAGAAAGGCAGATATATGGGATCAAAAGATCCATCCATACACATTTTGTTAAGATTTCAAAATGAAAGCCTTGTAATTGATGCATTTCTAGTAGGAATCTAAATGGTACTTATTGGGCTCAGATTGTACAGTAGAAGGATAAAGTAAGCAATAACTGTTGAAAGTGCTGTGTTTCACAGCTGCATTACACAGCTAAAGGACAGTTTATATCAAGAATAAGACAGAGGAATGAGCCGTATCTCTAATAAAAACAACTAAAATGAAGATAAGGTAAATCATGAGACATCAGTATAAGCAGTGAAAGAGCTTAGATTTCATTACATTAAAAGATTTTTGTAACTACTGGGAAAAAATGTCTTTAGTGTCTTGCTATGATATATCACTTATTACAGGTGAGAATAAGAAAGAGACAAAAGTTGTTTTGTTTCAGCTATCCAGTGGTCAGTATCTAGAGTTGGTTTTCAGCCCTCTCTTTTCTGAAACCAAGCCCACGGAGATTTTGATGGTCAGTATCTAGAGCTGGTTTTCACCCCCTCTTCTGAAACCAAGCCCACGGAGATTTTGTATGACAGTAAAATTCCCAATTCCAAGACAAATCAACAAAATAGTGAGAAGGCAATATTGGCAATATCATTGAAGCAATTTCTCTTCAATTTCTGAAAATGCCAGCCTTACAACAATCATTTCCCAAGCAAAACTTTTTTAAAAGTAAACAATAAGTGTAAAAACAAGTGGAAACAGTAAGTGGAAGATCAAATCCACATAAAGTATGAACTAGCAGGATAGTCCTCAAAATTGTTACAGCTAAACTGGCAACTTCATTATAAAGTTAGAATTCTGTCCTTTCATCCTGAAGCTCACAGCTTCTATCTTCCACTCCAAAGGATGTTCCCTCCACAGTGGATTTAATGAGTACATGTGTAACAAGTGGCTCAGTTTGCTATAAGGCCAAGGGAGTAGTAAAGTCACCCTTACCTCTAGGAAAGATAATCACACATTCCTACTTCCTGTCTTTTTACTTCATTTTTTATTTTTCAAAAAAGGACAGACACTGTGTCTACTTAATTGTCTTTTGATAAGCTGTGTAAGCAGCACGACAGGGTTTAAAACTAAAATGTTCTAAAATTACATGTTTTAGCGCTCATTCATGTTTTTCAACCCTTATTATCAAGTCCAAGCAAGTGGTGTTTGACTGCTAATATCAACCCAGAAAAAGAAGAGTTCCACATCATTAGTACTTTATTTGACTTATTTGCTGGTGCATAGCCTGACATGCATAGCCTGACACGCACCAGCAAATAAAATACCTAAGCATTTTCTTAATTAAGAGGCTCAAACTTGCCCCAACCAAGAGGCACAGCTATCTGTTATTCCACCAGAAACAGTTAGGGGAAACTGTTTTCAAACAACAGGTTTTGCTCTCCAGGTCTTCTCTCATCTTCAAGGTATTGCAAATTCTATTTGAGATGCATTTGCAAGTGATTCATTTACATAATGAATATTGCTGTTCATTAGCTAGTAAATGAGCGCTATTCTGTACTGCTAAACAAAACTCAAATCCACAAAATGAAATAGCTTCTCTGACCAGTATCTGGTCATTGTAGTTGCTGCAAAAGGAGGATCTGAGTGAAAACATGCTGGCTGCTAAATTGTTATGCTCCCTCCTCTTTGTTTCTTTCTAAAAAGTTGGCTAGCAGCATTACTTCAGTCACGAGAGCCCTTTTTCATGATGATTACCTGAAAACCTAGTTTCTGTAGACTACGAGCTAATCGTCTGGCACCAAATTTAGCTTCTTCTTCACTATAAAGAAGACAGACAAAAGTCCAGTGTTACCAAAAGCACAGTATGCATTTGTGTGCACACACATGACAATAAACGCGCAGTTATACAATGCAAGAACTATGTTCACAGGGACAGTCTTCATTTCATCCTACTATACATGTTACAGTATATTTTTCCACTATCTAGATACTCAAATAGCCACTCTTATTCTATTTAAAGAATATCTTTGCACTTGCATCTCCAGCTTAAATCAGTGGGAGCTGAAGTGGGAACTGCATAACACCACATATAACACATTATACTAAATAACAATCAAATACAAATATGAACACAGGGAATCTGAAGTTGACTAGCCTGAACTAATGGTCACTTTTCAACCTATTCTTTAAAATGCTCCCGGGGGATTAGAAAAGGCGGCAATGTTTGTGACACATTCATACCGGTAGGGACCATCAAATAAGTTTAGGAAAAAAAGCTCCCAATGTGTAGTAACCAGCGTGCTGAGTAATAGGTAAAAAGAGAAAACTGTATCATGCAAGCGCTAACATTGACTAACAACATTCCATTTTGAGACAGAGGTCATATACAGAAAGTATGCAGATTTACCACTCTACCTTCACTCCACAATGCAGACACATCTTAGGGGAATCTAGCTACTAGAGTTAACCAAGTCTCAGCTGGACATATCTGAACTGAAAATTTGCCTTTGCTTCTTCCCAGTCCCTCGACAGATTAAATTCAGGCAGATTTTCATCAAATAATGAAAGAGATTATCCCTTGGAATAAATCATCCCTTCTCAAGATTCAAGTTCCAGATCAAACAAACAAACAAGGAATTCTAAAGAACTTTCTAAAGAAAAGAAAAATTTCCAGTATTTTCTTTGTAAAGTAGTGCTTTTCTCAGAAGGTTGAACTGCTGTTTCTCAAGATTTCAAGTTAGTTCAAGGCAGACACTTAGCACAGGAAATTCAGACAAACTTGGCAGAAATCTGTGTGTGAGCCAGCACGAGGCAATCTTAACTGCAGCAAATACTGCTTCTTGCTATCTTTCCATCCCCTACCTTTCGAAAATCTACAAAATATTCAGCTAGAGAAAAGCTCTTCATGAACTCACCTTGTGGCTCCTGTGCAAATAACTTTTCCTGAGGACCAAATTGTGGCCGTAATCCTAGGTTTCCTAAGCTTCATTAATACTTTCTAAAAAACAAAAAAGGAAGAATTGAAAAATCAGTGTTAGTTCATTTTCATACCAGGAAGTACTATACTAATAATACTTCCTGTAAGGTTTGATAGTCTTGGAACTGTTCTTTCACCTTTTTCAGCAATTAAAAAAAAAAGTCAGCTATGGATAAGAGCAAAGTAAATCTGGAATATTTCTGGAATATTTAAGCCAGTGATTCAGGGTTCACAAACAGATTAAATGGAAGCGAATTAAAAGTTGAAAGTCATGCACATTGTGCTGCTGACTCCTTTCCTGAAAGGCTGCTATCTTATTTATAAATAATTTGGATGCAGATGTTCCAGCCCCAGACAAAGGTCTGGACAGACTCCTCCAGCTGCCTCCTCCCTCACCACCTCTGCTGCTGGGCTACCTGTTACAGAACTGCACCCCCCTTTCCTGCCTGCAACCATGCTGGACATGCACAAGGGTGCTGCTTTGGGGAGCTCAAGAAGGCACCTGCCACATTTGCTGTCCAGTGCTGTGGCTCTCTCCCTCTGCAGGACCTAACGCTGCACTATCTCACAAGTTAGGAAAGGTAGTTGAGGGATTTATTGATCCACATGCTAAAGCTTTCCCATAAATTTACAGTACGGACCTTTACAGTGTTTTTCCTCTTTTCCCCAGCAGTAGGATATTTTCCATTTATCCCTTGTAGTGAATCTTAGATCACCCCCCAACCCTTTTCCTTCCTCCCCCTTTCTTTTTTCCACCTAAGCTCAGAACACATCCTTCTTGGTACTTGCTTGCTTGCCATGTAAAAGATGCTTTAATTCCAACACAATGGTGTTCATAGATGACAGGATTAAACAATTCCTTTCACAAATCATTCCCCACCTTGTGAAAGGATGGTACCTGACTGAATTCAGCAGGTTCCCATTCTCTCAATTTGCAAAGAGCTACAACCTCACCTGCATCTAGATGTTACTTTTTTTCTCCTTTTGGATATTAGAACATATTGTCCTGACAAACATGAAATTCTGGGAGAAAGGACAGACCTTGAGGTATAGGTATAAGTCTCATTGTATATCCAATATTCACCTCAGGAGCTGCACTGCACAGATCTAAACTAATACCTTCCTGTAGCCTTCTGAGACAAGTTGCCCCTCTGCCCTACTGCAGAGTTAGTACATAATGACAGACAAAATGCCTAGCAAGACAGCAATACAACCATTCTGTTCTCTATCCAGAGGTGCAACAATGTTTAGCTTAAGGACATTTGTAAAAATAGATATTGGAGGTAAATTGAATCTCTTACCCCAACATCACGCTTGTATATCACATTTGCTCCCTCTAATGCAATCTTCCTCAAGTTTAAATGACATCTTGTTCTAAAAACACACACTACGTTTGTGATTAAAATGTCCAATGCAACATCACTGTCCGCATCCATTGGGGTGATTTACAACTCAGTTTTTCCACCAGCACACCATGAAGATCACATCCTGAGAAGGAGAATGAGAAAGTTAAACATACCAGCAGAAAACTGTCTATTAATACTCTCATTGCATATATCAGTCCCTTAAATGAAACAAGGAGCAGAAGTGACTATATTCTGACTCATTTAAGTTAGCTGGGGGAAAAGGGGGATGTCTTGCATCCTGTACACTAGGAAATAGGAGGTTATTTGTTTAAAGCCATGTTGTCAGACTTAGGAGAAATAAAGCATTTTTATATAACAATTAGACTTACTGGTTAAATTTGTTACAGATCCTATCCGCTATTAGGAAGCACTGATTACTAATACTACTTCCTTAGCTCCAATGCATAATCTTTCCTCAACTCATTTGAGATTGTTGTTAAGCACATAAAAAAAACCTTATTTCTCTCATTGTTTAGGCTGATTATTTTTGAACAGCCTGACATTTGTCATAGAATGGATGACCCCCTTTGAAATTAACAAGGGTTACAAAAACTGCAGCCTGCACAAAGCCAAAACAGCTTTGCCACCTTCACCCAACACCCTAGGTCTACCTCTCGGAACATAAATTGCCCCATTGGCAGCAGCCTGCACCAAGCCACAGGGTCCTCTTGTCCCCTTCTGCATTGCCCATAGGAAATGGGGCCCATGCTGAGAGTGCCTCACGGCACCTCTTCCACTGTACCAATGACAAGAGAGCTGACATTTCAAATGCTTAGATTTATCTCACAAAAGGGAGGGGAAAAAGGCAGGGGAGGAATATTGGTATAGAATAAAAAGGACCTACATCAACATATTACAGTTTATTACAAATTTTTAAAGTTATTTTCTTTGTAGAAGAATGTAAAATGCTTTTAAATAAAGTTATTTGCTGCCAATTAAGTGCATTTGACAAGCAGCTTAAGGAGACCACACTCCAGGAAATAGAAACAATAACAGCTTGGACTGTTCATCCACGCATCTGAAATGTAAGGAACATTTCATCCAAACTGAACACAGCAGAACGCAAAGCGCAAAATCAAAGAGCCTGATATATGAAATTCTCTACAAGGTGATTGCCACAAAAGAAGGGAGACTATGCATCAAGAACATATGCATTATAGCCTTGTATCTATATATATATATCACTTTGGAGTATTTTAGCCTTTTATTATTTGTCAAAAAACTGCAAGGTCCAAAGTGAATGTTTTTAGCATTATTTCTCCGAGTACTTTAACTCTGACTTCCTACAGATCACACCATAGCTTCTAATCAAGAATTCGTTCAAGGTGAATCTTTGACAATAACTGAATGAGAGAGTTGCAACAATTGCAACACAAAAGTGGAATCCACTGGGCAGATGTGCTTTATGTATGGGATCAACTGCTGTAAAGTCAACTGCTGTCAGTCTATTTTACTGTATAGTTTGATCCTTCCAAAGAATTATTGCATATTAGTTGGCTTGTCCAGTAGAAGGTGACACAAGTGATAACAGAGGAAAGAGATAAAGATGGAACGGGAGAAGAATATAGACATAAAATCAAAGGTTCTGCTGCAGGGCCATGGTGGTGATACTAGGGAAGCAAGACAGGAAGGAAAAAAGAAAGAAGAAAAAGGAAAATCAACACCAGATAATTAGTATTCCAGATTTTTTTTTCTCCTTTAAACCACAATATGCATGTATCCTCAAACTCAGAAATGACTTATTCCATCTTTTTTTTTTTTTTAAATAGACTACTAGAGACTGGGTTAGTGAATTATGGCACTGGATCCAGAGAGAGCCCACGCGCAGACTGTGAATGTCACACAGGCCAGGCCAGCCCGGGCATCCTAAGGACAGCATTTGCTCTCGGTCCTGGCTCTGGCTCCTGGCTCCCAAGGAGTCACTTACTGGAAGCCAGGAACACTTCTCTGCGAGGAAAACAAGCTACTCTGACCAGCAGTTTCTCCCAACATTCACATTTCTATGGGTATCCTTAATCTATGCATTCTGAAAGAGGAATGCCAATCACACACAATATCCTTGAAAGACTACCTAACCCCTAAGTAAGCCCTAGTGCCATGTCACAATGTCCCCATAAAATATTGATATATTTTATGGATATATTTAATGGATATGAGAGAAAGAGATGATTAAAATACAGGAAAATATGACCTAAAAGAAAAAAGAAAATCAGAACACTAATATGTCATGGAACTGTCAGGCAGGAAGTTTCCACCAGACCTAGCACACCTTGGTTAGAAACACAATCTACTTGCACAGATTTTAATATAGGAAAAAATACAGTATTGTAGTAATGTACCCTCATTTAATTACCATAGTTTAAATGACAAACAGATATTTAGGCAGGAAGGTTTTTTTTATTTAAAATGTAATTTTAGCTATAAGCAATTGCTAGGCTATATTTTGTGACACTTAGTTGAAAAGAGGCAAAATTTGTTATAGAAACAGGATTTCAATGCATCGCAAAATACTTCCAAAGCTACCTTTATTCTGCTCTTATGTTATTTGTTCTAACAAATGCAGTCCTTTGTCTGTTATTTCAACCAAATTTTGAAGACTTCCATTACTACGGATGCTCACTAAGAATCTGAATATGTGTCAATTTCAAATCTAATACACTCATTCCTATTTAGCAACACAAACATAATGAGAACCTCTTTCAATGCAATAATACTGTTCAGTACTACTGGATAAAACAAAACAGTTCTGTACTGCGAGGTGAAAAAGTTGATTTAGACACTACTTTCCAAACACTGAACTTAAATCTCCTATAACTGACACCTTACACTTGACATTTTAAAGTGACAATCTGTACTGACAAAAAAAAAAAAAAAAAAAAAAGGAAATATTCCAGGAAAAAATAAGTGCTGCTGCCTTTCTTGAGGTCTCAGAGAAATCTAAATTCACAGGAACCACTTCTACAGAAGCATGAAAGTTACCCGATTTAAAAAGCACCATACAAAAAATATATTTCAGATATTTTTATAAGAAGTAACAATTTTAAAGCTGTTCATATATGTATATATGCAATAGATATTTTATATATACACACATATATACATAAAACTCAAGTAACCTGACTGGGTGGTCCTGGCCCTGATAGTCCTCTCTCCCAATCTTTGCTTCTTATCTGGGGTTTGAGGTACCCTCTCTGTCCCCACTACCATGTGCCCCAAGCCAATATTATTGCTGAAAACTTGAATTTCTGCACTTCTGTTTCCTGCTTCTAAAATGAAAGAATTGCCTTCATGCTTTTAGCAGCCAAGCTGTAAGGCTGCTGCCATACATATCTGCCTGTAATTACGCCACAGTTAAGCAGTGACAGAGTAGAAGCTGAACATCAAGTTCCTTCCAGTTCTGGATCTGCCAAATTGCTAAGTTGTTATTATTAAGCTCAACTTATGTTTCATTGGTTAATTTTGCTCAGAGGTTTTCTTATCTGAGTCTTGGAAGTGTGACGGCTTAAATCTCGTTTTTAAAAGCATGTTCTCAGATACCAAAGTAGAGAGTAATATCATTTACTTTTCTATATGTGGAACATTTATTTATTTCACTCGGCTTCCTCTGGAGCAAGAAACTAGCTAACATCAATTTCAAGTACTCTGACATAGCAATAATTCTACTGATACAGAGAAAAATTTAAATACATTTTTCAAAAGTTTCTAATATAGATTTCCTTGGTGATATAAAATTAAACTTGTTCTCTACATAAAACATAGATTTTAGGAATACTGCAAGTGCACCAACCCAAGCGAAGACACTAGCTAGTCAGGTGAAGCAGGGTAAGGAGCATAAAGCAAACAAAAGCTAATCTGAAGGGTATTTGACTCTGAAAATAATGTATTCTACACTGAAACTAACAAACTTGCCACATCAAAATAAGAATTAGTTTGAAGGGGTGAATACTTAAGTTCTTAAATTAAGCATTACCCATATCTCCCCAATTAGGAGCAAGGTAATACTATTTTAGACACTATATAAACATACATGAAGACATACACCCTGCACTGAAATCTTACAATCTAAAAAAGGCCAGTTCTTCCCATATCCAAAAAAAAAAAAAAAATCCAAATCAAACTAACACCACCATCATCTTCAAAGAGAGGAAAGGCACCAGGGGTCGAGTGCATAAACACAGTATTATTTTAGGCCTTGGACTACCTTTGATGTGAGAAACTCCGAGCAAAGTAGTTGAATAGAGAGTATCTAACAATGGTTACATTAATGTCACAAGAGTTTAACAACCCTTCTTTCATACACAGTGTCAGCATAACCACCTTTTGATAGTTATTTTTAACATTTCTCCAAATCAGTTCACCAGCTGACCCCACAAATTGTTCCAACAATCCAATTGATGGAGTAGCTGTCACTATTCTTAACTTAAAAAAAAATAGCCAAACTACAGCCTGAAAAATTTAATAGAAACCTCTGCATTAAGAGCACAGAATGAACAAAATGGGAATGAGGAAACAGTGGGCCATCTTCTTGCTGCAGGTGAGTTTCTAAGACAATAGTTCTGTTCCTCAGAAAACAGTGAAACTCTGGAGGTTACAAACCTCTAGCCTGCTTGTACTCTTGTTTCCTATGCATCCTGTATAGCCATGGCATAGGTAGGTACAAGGCAATGCAGCAACAACCTGCCTAGAAAACCCTCTGACCCCAGTGGCTTTCCAAATTACCACCTCCGAACTACAGATTCATGTTTTTTTTTTTTCACCTCCAGTGGTAAGTTAAGCTTTCCTACAGCTAAATACTATTTTAAAACTAATTCTCTCTCACCCTTCAAGACTTACACAGCCATATGACTATTTCCTATTGAATGCAAACAGTGGAAGTTTTCTTGCGAAATTACTAATAGGCATAAAACACCAAAATACAGACTCATCCAATGGTGACACCAGCTACACCATGAGCAAGTAGGATACAAGCATCCAATCTTGCTCTGTACTCTCCTGGATAAGCCTTCTGGGTCTCTGCAGAACCAGGATCTTCCAACACAAACCTAGCTGCGGGCCTGGAGCCAAACAGCTTATTGAACAAGGTCAGGAAGCCCCCTTTGAAATAGTAACATAATGGTAACAGGCCATCGTTTTCTCATCAAAAAAACATTTCTCATTCAAGGTCAGAATGACTTGCAACCAATTTTGGGCTACCTCTCCCTTATAATATCAATAACAACCTAATGCTAGACACTAGGAAGCATCCATTAGGGTCTTTATGATACCTGGAAAACTACCATACATACGATAAAAGTTTGATC